GACGTCAATAGATCCGGGCCAGCGTAGATGTGGTCGTTTAGACTTTTTCCATTGTATTTCGCTGCTGCGTTGTACACTCGTCGAACTTTGCCTGGTTTCTTGGGATTACGTACTGGATGATGAGTTAAGTAATTAACTTTCTTGCTGTCTTTTGTCGCTTCTTCTTCTTCTGATGTTAGTTTCTTGATGTATCCCATCATGACGTCGTTCTCTATCGATGCTTGGTAGGCTTTCTTTAGTTCGGGGTCTCGGTTTAGACGATACTCTAAGGCTTTTAACTGTGCTTCAGCGGCGCTTCTGTTGTTGTAAAGAACTGGATCATCATCGCGCCAGAGTACACCAACTTCGTAGGCGTTTTCACCTGGAATTCTTCTTGTTTTGTCTTGCAGAATTTCCTGTGCCTTTGTGTCTTCCACTGAGCGAAGAATCTTTCCTTTTAATGCCGATGATGTATCCGGTATACTTTCCATGTTGATCCACTGCTTTAGGTGTTCCTCTACGTTGTTTTCTCTATCTTCTGCATCTTTTGTGTTTATTCTGTACGATTGCAACGAATCATCTCTTTCTCCTGGCAAATGGGAGAAAGCAACCCATCCAAGTTTCGTTCGCACAGCCATTGGTGTTCCTGTTGCTCCCTTTCTTTCTTCTAGTGGCGACTGAAGATGATAGGCGTCTACTCCGATGATCATCTTGATATCAGCAGCATTAACATCATATAATGGCAAATCCTTCAGGTGTTGAAAACGATCCTTTTCAGTGTTCCAGTTAACTTGATAGCTAGGATTGTTCATGTTAGGAATTGTTAGTACTTCTGCAATCTTGTGCTTTGTTCTTCGTCGCCCCACGCTTGACACTACGACGTCATTGATGGCAAATGACTGGATAACTTCGCTGACATTTGTACCTCCAAGAATGAGCTCACTTTTTGAACCGGAAAATCCGAGTTCTTCTGCTGTTTCTTGTTGRATTAAGGTAGCATTTGATCCACAATCGAGTAGRGCTTGAACTCTGCTTTCCCCTTTTGGGCCATATAGTATTATTGGTAGAATCTGATGTACGACACGACCTTTACTTGTGGTTGTCTTTCCTGTAAAAACATTSGATGCACCTTTAACCGGCTCTGCATTCTTGGTAGTTTGGTGTGTTGACTGATGGTGAGGCGTCGTCTGAGATGTAGGGGGTGMCTTTTTGCTTAACACGTCATGTAGCAGGAAGTGATGCAGTTCTTCGCATCCGTTTACTTTACATTTTCTTGTGCTTTGACATCTTGCGCGTCTATGATCACGAAGACAGTTGAAACAAAGTCTCTTTTCTCTTACTAACTTTTCCTTTTCGCTGGCATTCAGTCTTTTAAACACTCGGCAGTCGTCTACTTTATGTCTACTTGTTCCTTSGTGAAATGGACACGTTTTTCCTGTGTTGTTGAATGTGTTAATATTGTATGTCGCCTTCTTGAATGTTATTGGCTTTGMTGGAGTACTTGACTTTTCGTCGAATGTACGCTCCCACAGCACTGCTTGTTGTTCCAGCCACTCTCTGAAGCATTCAAGATCAACACCGTGAGGACGTGAACTTTCGTACCTGTTCCACGCGAGTTTTAGAGACGTCGGTAGCTTCGAGGCTGCTTCTCTGACRTAGCATGATGACTTCAGCTCACTTTCAAGGTTCATGGATTGAAATGTAGTCACTATCATGGAGATGGTATCTGCGAGTGAACGCAATTGGCTGACATTTCTTTCACTGACGCTGATATGTTTCTTGAGTTGGTTGTCATTGACATCGATGATTGACTTTGGKTCTCCAAAGCGACGTTCTAAGATTTCCCAGGCTTTCTTGTATTGTCCGCTTCCTGGTAGTATTCCTCGTAGAGCTGTCTCTGCTTTTTCTGTTGTGTGGTTCAACAAGATGTCTAATAATTCGTCTGTACTGTAGAGGTTTTCTCTTTCCATTCTCTTGAACGCTGCTTTGAATCCTGGATAAGCGTGAATGCTTCCGTTGAATTTCTTTAACTGGACAGGTTTGCTCTTGAGTATCGATGTGGCAAGTAGTAGTAACGGTTGCTGCTGTTTTCCGTTCTTGTCAGTCTCTTCATCTGCAAAGTTTGTTCTTTCGAATTCGTTATTGATTGATTGAGGTATACTTGTTAGTTCGCCATCGTCAGGAATTCCTTGTATGTATCTTCTTATTCTTGTGACTGAGTTGTCTCTTGGCAGTGACTTGAGTATTTCACTA